TATTGTATCTAATCAACAATTTTAATAATTTACGGATTATTATTTATTAACAGATTATTCATTCGCACACTAATTACTGTATAGCATTAAAAGTTGGCTTACATCGAAATCTTGATTTCCGACCATTTCATCAAAAGTCATATAAGGACTTCGCTAATTCGAGATGTATTTCAGTGTGCTGTATATGGTGAATATTCTGTGTATGCAAACTTGTGCAATAAATCAGAGTTACAATATTTCGAGCACATCCGTGACATTATTGTGCTGGAATTACAGAACTTTTGGTGAATGTTATTTCTCTACGCAATATCGTTCTCTAAGCGCACTTAAATATAGAGCTTAGAAATATACTTTTCCACATTTCCTTACATGAACGCGACATTTTTTTCCAAGTAGTATTCCATTCATATTTTCTATCGAAAATGATAACTAGCAATAGTAGCATCGGCTAGACATTGAAAATATTAATTTACCTAAAGTGAATTATAAAATTTTCTATTCATACTATTGGAAAAAACAAAAAATAACTGTAAGTAGCATTTTTTCTTGAAGCAAGTTAAATTTACTATGCTATTTAGATAAAACTGTTAGTTGAACTGTTTATTCCCAAAATTAAGATTTCGCTTTCATTAAAAACAATTTTCAATTGATATTTTTAAAATATAATTATAATATCTGTTATTATATAAATAAAATTCAATTTTTAACACATTTCATTTCATTCATTTTGACTTTTTATAAAAATATATTTTATTTAAGTGTGAGCGTCAACTGTAATCAGTAGCTACCTACAAAACACCAGACAGCGTACAGATGCTCCGGCAAAGATTTTGATTGGAATAGCTCAAGCACGAGGCGAAACTCAACACTATAGTAAATTTATATGATACCCGTTTATCAAAGGCCTTTAATATTACGTCGTTATGCAAAGTTTAATCAAAATTGTCAATCACCGCCTATAACTTTCTAACGGTTTTTAAAATCTTATAATCGATTCAATATTGTGGGCATAAACGTGGTCGAAAAATTTTACTGAAATCTATTAATTACAAAGAAAAGGCTAGGACGGTCGTCCCGATATAACATCACACACACATATATTTTCCAATTTTGGTCCTTTATGACTTATAATGACTTGAGACGTCAAAAAGATATAAAATCAGTAAATCGTTTGTTCCGAGCTTTACGCGGTAGATGCGTTCCATCAAAGTAGAGCGTAATAAGAAAAAGCGCTAAACGAGACTATCTTTACATGAAAATATTGGAGTTACATTTATTTCTTAACGCCCAAATTAACACTATTTCATTATTTCTTGCAAAAATAAAAACAAAATATAATTAACAACACAATTTTTTTTTGAAATATATATAAAATTATAAGTATGTAATATTTAGTTAGCCTTTTGCGTTTCCAGTTTTCTGTCTTTTTGTGACAAAGGAATCTATTGTTCTTTGCGTTGTTCTGTTAAGGGGGTATTCTACTGTAGAATTTTGAAAAAATCGAAATTTTTTTTTTCATATTTTCAAAGTTTAGTTATTCAAAAATATATCATTAAAAGGATTTTTCAAAATTACTATTATTTCCTGAGTTATAGCCGTTTTAGTGACGTGGCCTCGGTTCGGGTCCGACTTGTCTCAAAACTTTGAACGCGTTTCTCTCGGAACTACTTTTTTCGAGATGGCGGTAAGGATATCTCGAGTTCTAATGAACCGATTTACTTCAAATTTGGAGAGGAGAGGATTCTCTATACATCGCTTTATCGCGTGGACCTTACCCAAAACTATAACTTTTCATTTAGTATTTTTAAAAAATTCGGAATTGTTAAAAAAAAAACATGAAAAATTTTTTTTTTCAAACTGCCGCCATTCAAACAAAAATTTATTATATTAATTTAACTTATCCAAGGGTCATACGATAGCGGCATCTATAATAATTAAGAATCCATCTATTTCTTAACTTCCCGTAGGGTAAGTTATTGTAATGGGCCGAAAATCGGAATTGAAAATTTTTACATTTCTCGACGTTTTGAAGGTTTCTGAATGTTTTGGCATACCTCAGAAAAAATGGATGTGTGTGTGTGTATGTGTGTGTGTGTGTATGTGTGTGTGTATGTATGTATGGATACAAATTTCCAGTCACGTTTTCGGACGCACGGATCAACCGATTTGATTGGTTCAAAAAACATTCGATTGATAGGAAAAAGAGCTGATTAGTTTTTGGCGAAGGTAGGTCCAGTCGTTTCGGAGATACGGAGCAAAGAGTGCAAAAAATAGAAATCGACTTTTTGAGAGAACGGAGTATCCAATTTGAATGATCTAAAAAACATTCAATTAGTAATGATTAGGAGAAGTGTTTATTAGTTTTTTGCAAAGGCAGGCCTAGCCATTTTGAAGATACAGAGCTAAATATGTAAAAATTGGCGGTTTTTGAGAGAACAAAGCGTCCGATTTAAATGATTTAAACAACTTTCGGCTTGTTTAAACAAAATAATTGATATAGAAAAAAAATTTTTTTGTTCTATTTTGTTTTTTTTTGTATATCAAAAATAATTCAGATTTTATTTTTAATTCTGATTGAAGTTATAATTAACTTTAAACAAATATGTTTAACTTTGCAATTCATTTTATATAATTCTTATAAATATTAGACAATGTTACAATATCTATAATGATCTATTTGAAAACATTCAATATTTCTCGAACATTTCGTTACGGTACGGGATGTTCCAGCAATTTGCCTTAAGGCACGATGCCATACACCCCACTAGTTTTATATTCAAGAATTGGCCCCCAAATTAAATGAGATAACCATTGGATATCATAACCATGAATTGCGCTTTGTTAAAAAAAAAATTCTTACTCGGTTTAGTGTCAAATGATTAACTCTGAATGAACCTCATTCCGTTCAAAGTCAAATAAGTAGTCATGAGCCCTTGCTCTACCTGCGATATAAGCGTTAGCGTCGATTGTAATGTACCGTGTCACGGCCGCGTCTGAGCTTTCTCTTAGACTTAGGTTCCGGTCGTTTCCTTAACGGGCGCGCATGTTCGGGTCCTCCCTTGGCTTCCGGGACCTGTGTGGCTTCCCGGAAGTGTAACGGACCGCGCGATATCGGGATCAGGGTTTGCGCTTAATTAAGATCCGGTTACGAGATAGCCACAATCGCGTATCAGCTAACTCATAGCGTAACAAAGATAGGTCCATATATCAAAAGTTCATCGTGTGCAAACTATATTAATTGTAATGTATACAGATAGTTTTCATTGCATAAGAAAATGCTTCATGGGATACAAATCATTATCATTTTCATTGTTTATAACTTCCCGAAGGAGAGTTTATGGTTTTCTCAAAAACGACTAGACCGATTTCAAAAATTTAAAAGCCATTCGATGTGTGAAGATTGGCCGAGCCATTTCTTTGTAACTCGAAGAAAAGTGAAAAAAAATTTGTCCACGTTTTAGCCCGCAATTCTTAATCGATTTTGAAAACTCAAAAACCGTTCGAAAGATATTGGTTGGGAATCGTGCTGATTAGTTTTTGGTAAAGATAGGCCGGGCCGTTTTCTTGTATTAAAGTTTTTTTAAAAAAAAAAACGACTATTTTTCTTGTTATTTTTTTTGGCGGCAGATACTAAAATATTACAGCCCTACGACAACTCGTTTAGCTTTAAAAATTCATCAAAGTTTGCAAAAATTAGTATCGTTCTTTTGACATTTGTCAAAATTAGACCTTTGATCGACGTTTGCTCAAAAACGCCTGAACCGATTTCAGAAATTTAAAAGCCATTCGATGTATCTCAAAGAACACTATAGTTTGTCAGCTTTAAGAGACGATTTGCCGAGCCGTTTCTTTGTAATTTGAAAAGAAGTGTTAAACTTTTCGTCCACATTTAAGCTCATTCTACCGAATCGATTTTAAAAAATCAAAAACTATTCGAAAGATATTAGTTGGAAATAATACTGATTAGTTTTAGGTGAAAATCTACGGCGCCGTTTTCTTGTAATTAACTGTTGAAAAAAAAATTAATCCAATTTTTATGGAACTTTCTTTGGCGATGTATATTATGGTCTTACAGAACTTACTGAAATATTGCGGCCTTACGACAAGTAATTTAATTTTAAAAATTCATCAAAATTTGAGAAAATGAGTAGTTTTGTTGACGTTTGTTAAAATTAAAATTAGATGATTTACTTGGTATAATGATAGATTACTTCGTCTTAATGAACATACTAAACCATTAACGTCCTACGAAAATTGGTTCAATTATAAAAATTATTGATTTGTGAAAATTTGCTTTTAGAAAATACTCCGAGTTAACATGTTCGTTCGTTTTCAATTATGTGTAATAAATCCTCTCGGAATACTTCTAATCACTCATAATTTAATTTGTTTATTATTGATTACGTCGATTATTAACACATATCGGGAAGTTCATGTAACTTGCCTCAAGGCTAAATACCAATACCAACTAGTTAATGTATTTTATTAAAACTAGTTTTATAATTATTAGATATAATTACGCAATATGCGATTAGATAGTTACAACAATAAAACATTTTAAAACATCACTATGACATATATTTTTTATAAGTGTTGCAATTCAAAACAAAATGATATACTCGAAAATATCCTTCTTAATTAAACTAATAAAAAAATAATTTTAAAGCAATTTGATAAAACAATCCTACAAAATTTTTGTCAATTTCATTATATATTATTCTTGAATTATTAATTTAGATATTGTTTTCATAAACATAAACTGAGCTATATTTTTTTTTTTTGTATCAAATCATATTTTAATTGCTTTAGTGCAGCATTATGTGTAGCAGTTGATTGAAAACTGTTATTTAAATAGGCGTATAATTAATATTGCCTAGTTTTAGAGTATCAAACTTTTATTGTTTTGTTCATAGTTTTCTCTTATATCATAATGTTTATACATTTGAATATAAAGTCAAGTCTAAATAATTTGGTTGTATATCCGGACAGGTAATATTAAGATGAAGAAACTTCAAATAATAATAGCGTTGATCGGATGCCTTCATTCTGAATTCTCGCAAAGTCAAAGTAAGTTTTATAATAATAATTGAATATGTAATTATAACTATATGTATATTTCAAGAAGATAAATTTATGAAGAAATAATTGATAACCCAACACTGTATATGTATATATTTTCTTTGTATTTTTATCATCAATATATTCTAAGAGAATTTAACTAGTTAGTGTTATTTTTGATAAAAATTATTATTTATTCAGAGTCATATGCAAATCAGAAGACAGTTTGTAATTCGATATTATTTTAGATGTTGGTTCCACTACTAAAGAAGAAAATAATCGCATCATTGGTGGAATGCCAGTGGATATAAAAAGATTTCCTTGGCAGGTATCAGTTCAATATGATGATCGTCATTTTTGTGGTGGTTCTATCATCGATAAAAGCTGGATACTAACTGCAGCGCATTGTATGGACATGTAAGTATCAAAAACTAACAAATTTTGAGATTTTTCATGTCACCCTTTATCACTTGTTGCTTGTTTTAGATTTGAAAATATCGAACTTGGCGACCACCTTAAAATTCATTATGGAAATAACGACTGGCAACTTGGCTTCGTTAATATTGTAGAAAAGGCTATTATTCATCCAAATTACAACCAAGTGACAGTTGATAGTGATGTGGCCCTTCTGAAGCTGCACTCTCCAATTACCTTCACAAATGGCGTTCAGAAAGTATCGTTGGTCGAAAAAGGTCAAGATCCTGCACCTTATTCACTTGCGATTATTACTGGATGGGGTGCTTCAACGGTAACAATTTAATTTGGGATAATAAACTTGAACCCAAAATGATATTTTTAACTTAGCGAAAAAGAAATTTATATTTTCATAAAAAACAATTCGCTAATTTTATGTTTTCTCGACGTTTAAAGCTATTCTGAATCGAATGAGTCAAAATTTGGAATAAGTATTTGTGTGTGTGTATGTATGCGAGCAGATTTTTGATTTTTTTTCGACGATTTCTCGAAAACGGCTGAACCGATTTCAAAATTTTAATGTCCATTCGATATATCTCGATGGGAACTTATCAGTTTTGCGCGACGATCGGCCAAGCCGTTTATTTGTAATTAGCAAAAAAAGTGTAAGCATTTTTGTCCACGTTTATAGCTCACTATCTTGAATCAATTTTAAAAATTCAAAAACCGACCAAAAGATATTGATTGGAAACGTGCTGATTAGAAGATAGACCGTATCGTTTTTCTGTAATTAACTGTTGGAAAAAAATCATCGATTTCTACAAAACTATTTTTGAATATGAATATTATGAATTATAGAAATATTATGGCTCTACTATATGCTAAACTATAGTTTAACTAAACTAAAAATTTATCAAAGTTTGAAAAAGTAAGTATAGTTTTTTTGATATTTGTTAATATTAACCGTTTTATTTGCTATGGCGATAGAGTACCTGGTCGTAGTAAACATACTGAAACATTATAGTTCAATTATAAAAATTTATTGAATTTTGATAATTAGCTTTTCGAAAATACTCCAAGTTGTGTTAGACACGTGTTCGATTTTTAGTAACGTGTAATAAATCCACTGGGAATACTTTCAAATCACTCATAAATTTATTTATTTATTATTGATTAAGTCTATTATTTACACATATTGGGAAGTTCATGTAATTTTCCTTAAGGCAAAATATCATATCTGGCGCCGATCTGAAAAAAAAATTAATCATAATATTGTTGTTATTAGTTGTTAAGTTTTAATAAACCATCGGGTTTTTCTCACCCCACTACCTTTTACTATCAATATATTTTTTATTAAAAACCTCTAAACTATCTTTTTTAATTACACTTTAAATTAGAGTTTGTTGATCACAAAACAGAATGCTCGCAGTTATTATTAGCGATTAGTTTAATTTGTAGAATAATAAACCCTTTTTACTACAAAATATTATTTTCAGATCTGCTGATTATCATTTGCTCCAAAAGTAAAAATTGGTTAATTATAAGACAAGTTATTCTCGAATAATATACTTTATTTTATAATTTCAGCTGTAAAATATTTGCCTATAATTTATAATGAGTAGAATAATAGAAAAGTAATTAGCATAATTAATAAATAACAATAATTTTTACTGTTTATTAAAAACTGTAATTCTCTCGATATAAAAGTCAAAATATTTCGACCAGATTAAAAGAAAGTGAAGTTTATATGAAATAACATCGTTCTAAAATAAGCAGTGTTAAAAAAAAATAAAGCAGTAGTACTAGGTATCTATTGACGTTGCATCAATAATTTATGAAGTCACACTTTCATAATTTCTTCTCAAATCATTAGTATAATCAACTTCCCGTTTCAAAGTTCATGAACATTTTGGCATACTTAGAAAAAAAAAGTATATGTGTGTTGTGTGTGGATACAATTTTTCCTTCAAGATTTTGTGCTTGGATTACTTAAAAAACATTCAATTCAAAAAATGTTATTTAGCAGTTAAAAATGATCATTAGACATATACACATAAAATTTTCACTTTTTTTATAGATATTTTCCTGGCGTTCCACACCAGAATTTATAATGTTTATAGTTTACTTTGATAGTTCAAACAAATTTCCTCGACATTTTCGATGCTATGGATCAACCGACTTCAAGGGGTTTCAATTTTCAATAAAGTCGAGTCTCATTATCAAAGTATTTGATTGAAAAATCTTTTTTTTTTATTTCAAATAGTTCAAAATAATTCAATTTTTTCAAAATAGTCGTTTTTTTTTAAAGTTTTCAAAAATCGCACAAAATTCTGTTTTTGTTTCAAAGTTTTAAAGCTTATAAAATTTGAAATTACGGTACGGAAAGTGCCAGCAATTTGCCAAAGAACAATGCCATGTCATTGGTTTTGTTTACATTGCGCTGTGGGGTTTGTTTACATTTACGATATAAATATATATTAAAGATAATAAGGAAATAAGTAAAATATTTCATTATATAACATATAATATAATAAAATAATTTATGTAACAGGAAGGTGATATTAGTAGTTCGCAAACTTTACAAGGAGGTGTAGTTCCAATCGTAAATAGAAATGAATGCAGAGTTATGAACTCTGAATCGTATGCTGGGGTAAATCAAAAGTTAGTATATAAATAGTAAAATTCGATAGAATTATAATACAATCGAAAATGAACTATAAAATATTTGAAATTGGATTTTGAAATTCAAAGCCATATCTAATCATTGCAAAATGACTTTAGGAACTTTATACGATTTATTATTTCAGTATGATCTGTGCTGGATACATTAAGGGAGGAATCGATTCGAGCTTCGGTGATAGTGGTGGTCCAATGGTTAATGCAAAGAATAAACAAATAGGAATTGTTTCATGTGGAACAGGAACTGCAGAGGCAAATGCACCTACGATATATACGAGAGTTGGCGCACCATCAATCAGAAGATTTATAAGAGAAGTGGCTGGCGTGTAAAATAATGATTATTTTTTGCGCATAATTATTTCAGATAATATTAAGCAAAGCTTGAATATATATATATATATATATATATATATATACATATAATACAATTATCAAGTTCAGAACATTCAATTTTTATTAAAATTGTTGATTCGTTTTTGGCAAAGGCAGGTACAGCAATTTTTTTTATTTTTTTTTTAATTTTATTTTTATTGGCCTCGCTTACTCGAGCATTTAGCCACCTACATTATTCTATACAATCATATATCCTATACAATCTTCAATTTTTATACTATCTTCTTCATATAATCCTATTCTTCTATACTTCTTAACTTATCTTCATTCTTCTTTACTATCTTCTCATTTCATCTTCTAACCACATATTTATTCTTCTTCTATACTTCTCATTTCTTCTTCTAAATTCTTCTTACTTCAATTCATTTTTAATTCTAATTCTCCAATTTTTATACATTTTGATTTTACATACATATCTTTTTATTACAATTCACAATACTAGTTACTAGTTAATATTTTTTCAAATTCTTGCCGGAGATTCGAACTCGGAACCTCCAGCATGTGACGATGGCAAAAATGCTATGGCGGGAAGACGAGTAATATGCATTAGGTGAAAACTAGGGTTTATACAAAAACCGACATTTAAGAAAACCGGTTTTCGAATTTTAATTTAGCTAAAAAACCGGTTTTAACCGGTTTTCAAATTTTATATAGAAAATAAATTTTTGCTCGAATATTCTGTAATTTATCCGCAAATTTAGTGTAATTTAGAGCAGTATTTGACTGAATTTATTTATTGTTCAATTTTATAGATAGTAAATAAAATTATTTTCATTTTAATTAGTAGAACTAAAAAATAATAGTTTATCTTGATTAAATAACTTTGAGAATAATTATTAGTTATTCATGCATAGGAATTCACATATAAGAATGAAAATATTTTTATGATAGTAAAAGGAAAGTTTTCGAATAAATGAAAATAAGACATTAATAAATAACAAAAATTCATTAAATTAAAAGAAAAATAAAAAATATTAGATGCATGTTGATATCAATTTTAGTTTTAAAAACAATTAAGGTAAACTCGGGTATTGCATGTTCAGAGCAATTTTAATTAATTAATTTTAAACATTCTAATTGTTTTTTTGTTTAATAAATATGATTTAAAAAAAACTGAGAACGTCTATCGAATTGCTACTTAGATGTGTCCTTTGTTTACTCACAAAATTTCCTGAAATAGAAAATATTCTCATACTTGCGACCAAATTATGCTTAATTGTTTTTAAAGCCTGATATAATAATTCTAAATGTTTTGTTATTTAATTTATGGCTTCAAGGGTTTAAAACTCTTTTTTAAGTTTAAGTAAGACAAACTGATTTAAATTAATATATACATTGGTATAAAAATCTAAATTAATATATACAAAACCTTTCTGGGAACCATCACAGACTGATAAAATATCAAATGCTATTGTACCGATATGATTTCAAGAATCAAAATGCTTTCATCTATCTTTTATATTTGGCTATATTTGTCATTTTTTATTTATACAGTGAAAACAGACTTTTTTCATTAAAAAAACGGTTTTCGAATTCCATAATTTTCGCCAAAAAACCGGGTTTTAAAACCGGTTTTTGAAAACAGACAAACGACAAAACTTACAGCTTAGATGCAAATTGCATAATATAAAAATACAAATTATGCTCAAAATTCATTTAAATCATCAAAATAAATATATAGCATCATAAGTAAATCATCATTATCAGATATACCGCTAATTAATTCTCCATCAACATACGATTCTCTATTGCTGATTTCAACGTCTATGAAAAAATTAAGTTTTAATGCATTGATGACAAAATAAGTTTACAGATGGATGTTGCGATATTATTTCCAAAAATCGAAGAAGTTGTATCTCCAAAACTATTTAACGAAAATTTGGGATTAACAAAATTTACAACAAGGAGTATCTTAAGTTAAATATTAAAGATCAAAGTTGTTTTTTATTTTGTTTAAGCTTCGAATTGTTGCATTTTATTATACAATCCAATAAAATATGGTTTTATATTGCTTGTAATAATATAATAATATATGCAATATGTATGCATAACTCCACACTATCTACGTTAAGCCACAATCGCGTATAAGCTATTGTGGCTTAACATAGATAGTATAACATAGATAGGTCCATATATCAGAAGTTTTTTTGTATGCAAACTATATATAAGTATAATATATACATATAATTTATATAGCATAACAAAATATTTCATATCATTGCTTTTTGCTTTTCATGTTATATTAATGAAATATATGTAGGATAGAGCTGGCCTTAAAGGTCCACGAGTAAAAAGACCACTACCGATATCTCAAAAACCAGTAAAGTTAGGGATTATTGTATTTGGCTGTGAGCACTGTTGCTTAGTTTATGAGACCTTAATATAATTTTTAAGGTATACGTTATTTAATTGTTTTATAAGATGTAATGTTAATTTTAAGTTTGGTTCAACTTTTTTTATATATAACTTCTGAAAATGTGGGTGGCTAAAAAATATCAACGGAACATTCACTCTGGCAAAGGTAAAGACAATAAAAATAGCGTTTTTTCATTTATTTTTAACTTCCCGAAGGAGAAGTTTATGTTTTCATCAAAAAACCCGATTCGCTAATTTTATGTTTTCTCGACGTTTCAAGCCATTCTGAATCGAATGAGACCAAATTTGGAAAAAGTATGTGTGTGTGTGTGTGTGTGTGTGTGTGTGTATGTGAACAGATTTTTTGCCGTAAATCGACGTTTTCTCGAAAACGGCTGGACCGATTTCAAAAATTTGTGCGACGATCGGCCAAGCCGTTTCTTCATAAATGGCAGAAAAGTGAAAAATTTTTCGTCTACGTTTTAGCCCGCAATTCTGAATCGATTTTGAAAATTCAAAAACCGTTCGAAAGATATTGGTTGGGAATCGTGCTGATTAGTTTTTGGTAGAGATCGGCCGGGCCGTTTTCTTGTAATAAAGTTTTTAAAAAAACAATTTCGACGATTTTTATGATTATTTTTTGACGATAGATACCGTAGTCTTCTAGATCATACTAAAATATTACGGCCCTACGACAACTGGTTCAGCTTTAAAAATTCGTCAAAGTTTGCAAAAATCAGTATGGTCTTTTTGGCATTTGTCAAAATTAAACTTTTGATCGACGTTTTCTCAAAAACGCCTGAACCGATTTTGGAAATTTAAAAGCCATTTGATGTACTTCGGTGAGGACTATCGTTTGTCAGTTTTGTGCAACGATCTGCCAAGCCGTTTCTTTGTAATTTGAAAAAAACTTTTCGTCCACATTTAAGCTCATCCTACCGAACGATTTTAAAAAATCAAAAACTGTTCGAAAGATATTAGTTGGGAATGGTACTGATTAATTTTAGGTGAAAATCTACCGAGCTGTTTTCTTGTAATTAACTGTTGAAAAAAAGTGTTAAATTTTCGTCGACATTTAAGCTCATCCTACCGAACCGATTTTAAAATATTAAAAACTGTTCGAAAGATATTAGTTGGGAATGGTACTGATTAATTTCAGGTGAAAATCTACCGAGCCGTTTTCTTGTAATAAACTGTTGAAAAAAAGTGTTAAATTTTCGTCGACATTTAAGCTCATCCTACCGAACCGATTTTAAAATATCAAAAACTGTTCGAAAGATATTAGTTGGGAATGGTACTGATTAATTTTAGGTGAAAATCTACCGAGCCGTTTTCTTGTAATTAACTGTTGAAAAAAAGTGTTAAATTTTCGTCGACATTTAAGCTCATCCTATCGAACCGATTTTAAAATATCAAAAACTGTTCGAAAGATATTAGTTGGGAATGATACTGATTAATTTTAGGTGAAAATCTACCGAGCCGTTTTCTTGTAATTAACTGTTGAAAAAAAGTGTTAAATTTTCGTTGACATTTAAGCTCATCCTACCGAACCGATTTCAAAAAATCAAAAATTGTTCGAAAGATATTAGTTGGGAATGGTACTGATTAATTTTAGGTGAAAATCTACCGAGCCGTTTTCTTGTAATTAACTGTTGAAAAAAAAATTTAAGCCGATTTTCATGGAAATTTTTTTGGCGATATACATCATGGTCTTATAGAACTTACTGTAATATTACGGCCTAACGAAAAGTAGTTTAATTTTAAAAATTCGTCAAAGTTTGCTAAAATTATTATCGTTTTTTTTTTAAGTAGGATTAATGAAGTATATTATTTACACATTTTTTTTTGATTAAATCGATTATTTACACATTTCGGGAAGTTCATGTAACTTGCCTCAAGGCTAAATACCAAACCAACTAGTTCAATTACAATCTGTCTCATTTAGGACATTGAGTAATTGTTAATCTCCCGTAGGGCGGGTTATAGTAATCGCAAAAAAATTGAAAATAAAATTTTTTATATAGTTTTACGTTTCAAAGGTTTCTGAATATTTTCGCATACCTCAGAAAAAATGGATGTATGTGTGTGTGTGTGCGGATACAAATTTTTGTCGACGACATTTTGTCTCTATGCAGTTAAAGCAGTACGATTGCTTTGAAAAAAAGTTCAGAGTTTCCAAAACATTTCGAAATAAATTTTTATTCAATAAATCTCTTTTCAAACAAGTTGGTTTGGTATTTAGCCTTGAGGAAAGTTACATGAACTTCCCGATATGTGTAAATAATCGACTTAATCAATAAAATATAAATTAATTTATGAGTAGATTTATTACACATAATTGAAAACGAACGAACACGTTAACACGGAGCATTTTTAAGAAGCAACTTTTCAAAAATCATCAATTATTATATTTAAAGTTCAAGACCAAGTACTCTATCATTATACCAAGTAAATAGTCTAATTTTAATTTTAACAAATGTCAAAAGAACTACTCATTTTCTCAAATTTTGATAAATTTTTAAAATCAAACTATTTGTCGTAAGGCCGTAATTTTTCAGTAAGTTTAATAAGACCATAGTATATATCGCTAAAAAAATCCATAAAAATCGGTTTAAATTTTTTTTTCAACAGTTAATTACAAGAAAACGGCTTGGTAGATTTTTACCTAAAACTAATCAGTGCCATTCCAAACTAATATCTTTCGAACAGTTTTTGATTTTTTAAAATCGGTTCGTTAGGATGAGCTTAAATGTGGACGAAAAGTTTAACACTTTTTTTTCAAATTGCAAAGAAACGGCTTGGCAGATCGTCACACTGAAAAACGATAGTCCTCACCGAAATACATCAAATGGCTTTTAAATTTCTAAAATCGGTCCAGGCGTTTTTGAGAAAACGTCGATCAAAGGTCCAATTTTGACAAATGCCGAAAAAACGATATAAATTTTTGCAAACTTTGACAAATTTTTAAAGCTGAACCAGTTGTCGTAGGGCCGTAATATTTTAGTGTGATCTAGAAGACTATGGTATCTACCGTCAAAAAAATAATCATAAAAGTCGTCGAATTTTTTTTTAAAAAAACTTTATTACAAGAAAACGGCCCGGCCGATCTCTACCGAAAACTAATCAGATCGATTCCCAACCAATATCTTCCGAACGATTTTTGAATTTTCAAAATCGATTCAGAATTGCGGGCTAAATTGTGGACGAAAAACTTTTCACTTCTCTGCTATTTACGAAGAAACGGCTTGGCCGATCGTCGCACAAAATTGACAAACAATAGTCCTCATCGAGATACATTGAATGGTTTTTAAATTTTTGAAATTGGTCCAGCCGTTTTTGAGAAAACGGCGATTTACGGCAAAAAATCTGTTAGTGCACACGCACTCACACACATATTTTTTCCAAATTTGGTCTCATTCGATTCAGAATGGCTTGAAACGTCGAGAAAACATAAAATTAGCGAATCGGATTTTTTTATGAAAACAAACTTCTCCTTCAGGAAGTTAAAGAAAGTAATTTTTTGTCAAAAATTTATAGTTTCTCAAAAATCTAATTTTTTCAGGGTAATTTTTTTTCAAAAATGTTAATCTTTTAAAAAAAAATTTTGGTACGAGAAGTACCAGCAATTTGCCTTGAGGCACGATGCCATGCGCCCGACTAGTTTTGACTTTTATCATACGTATTTTTTGAATAGATGGCAACCCAGTAGTTGTCAAATCCAGTAATGACTAATTAACTATACTCGAAGTATTTTATCGACATTTTTTATATATATATATATATATATATATATATATATATGAGTGAGTTCTTGAGGGCGATACATCAAACTGTTTGATGTATCGCCCTCAAGAACTCACTCATATATTTCAACATCAAAATTAACTACTAAATCATATATATATATATATATATATATATATATATATATATATATATATATATATGTTTCTGGCCCAAGAATAGTGAATAAAAAAGTAAATTAGGTTAAACATAAGCAGTTTAACAAGAGATAAATTAAATTAATAGTTATTCGAATGATGAATGCTGACGAATATTTCTAATAACAAAATTTCAGATTAAGGTCATGTTCAGAATTACTACTGTAAATATTCCACCCATAAAATTTATATGTAGCATTGGTTGAATATTGTAGCTATTATTTTGTAAAATCTTTTTAACAATAAAATAGAACATTGAACTTGTTTGCCCTCTAGCCGTCTCAATTTACCATGCCTATGAGGTAAAAAATCAGGTAACAAATTTTTGAAAAAATAGCAACAAAAACACATTTGTACAATGATGAACTAGCTGGTATTTTACTGAACATAGTCAGATAATTGTTTGTTTGAAATGTATTATTTGTTTGATATAATTGTTTTAAAATATAATTGGTCAAAATCAAATTGTGCCCCGCCCTGCCCTATACCAAAATGTTCAGAAACCTTTGAAACCTAAAGATATGCTAAAATTTTCATTTTATATTTTTTGCGGTTGCAAAAACTTACACTACGGGAAGTTGAAAATTAAACATTATTTTGTGTTTAGCAATATTTTAATGTATTTTATTAAAACATGTTTTATAGCTTCTAAATATCATTTTCCAAACTGCCGTTAGATAAGGCACAGCACCAAAATATTTTAATAATATACAATAACAAGCATGTGATATATATTAAAACAATGTGGTACAAAAATCGATTATTTTTATCCAAAACTACGCACATTTGATAGATCAAATCACATAATTTTTGTGTTAATTTTATTATATATATTGTTATATACTCAAATTATTAATTTGGACTTTGCTTTCATAAACGTAAACTGAGCTATAATATTTTTTTTATCAAATCATATTTTATTTGCTTGCGCCATTTTGTGTAGCAGTTGATTGGAAACTGTTATTTAAATAAGCGTATAATTATTTTTGCCTAGTTTTATTGTTTTGCGTATTTTTTTTTATATGTCATTAGTTTTGTACATATAAATATAAGGTAAAATCTGAATAATTTAGTTGTATATATACGGACTGGTAATGTTAAGATGAAGAAACTTCAAATTATAATAGCCTTGATCGGATGCGTTCTTCTCGAACTCTCGCAAAGTCATAGTAAGTTTTATAATAATAACTGAATACATAATTATAACTATAAGCATGTTTCGAAATTGATTTTCCAAGAAAATAAATTATATATTATATTTTTTTTGTAATTTTAATATCTAAAATTTTAAACTTTTTAGTGTTATTACTTTTTAGTTATTTTTGTTAAAAATTATTAAAAATTATTACTCATTCGGACTCATGTGCAATTCAGAAAAAAACTCTAATGCTATGTTATTTTAGATGTACCGACTACTAAAGAAGGACATGATCGCATCGTCGGTGGAATGCCAGTGGATATAAAAGATCATCCTTGGCAGGTATCAGTTCAATATGATGGTCGCCATTTTTGTGGTGGTTCTATCATCGATCACATCTGGATACTAACTGCAGCACATTGTGTAAAACAGTAAATATCAAAACAATCTAATAATTTTGAGTACAATTTAAATGCTGCAAACATAGGGAATCATGTCACGGTTTGCCACTGATTGCTTGTTTTAGATATGAAAATCTCGAACTGGGCGACAGCCTTAAAATTCACTATGGAAATAACGACTGGCACTTTGGTTTCGTTAGTATTGTAGAAAAGGCTATTATTCATCCAAATTACAACCCAGTGACATTTGATAGTGATGTGGCCCTTCTGAAGCTGCACTCTCCAATTACCTTCACAAATGGCGTTCATAAAGTGTCGCTGGTCGAAAAAGGTCAAGATCCTGTACCTTATTCACCTGCGATGATCACTGGCTGGGGCCATACAATGGTAACAATTTTATTTCATATAATAAACTTAAAACTAACATGATATTTTGATTTTGACCCAACAAAAAACAATATCAAATTACAATATTGTATTGATTTTATAATTCGATAAATCATCGGGTTTTTCTCACCCTAACACTACTATTCACTATTAATATATGTTTTTATTAAAAATACCAATAACTATATCCAACGAAGTGCTCGTAGGTCATATTAGCGGTTAGTCTAATTTGTAGAATAACAAACCTTTTTACTACAAAACATTATTTTAAAATCTAGTAATTATCATTTTTTCGTAAATGAAAGTATTGGTTAAAAAGACATTGTAATTTATTTTCTCGAGTTATATATTTTATTTTATAATTTTAGCTGTGAAACATTTACCGATAACTTGTAATATGCAGAATAACTAATAATTCAGTTTTTGAGAGAAAGAACGAACGAAGCAATAATTATGCTTCAAAAAGCATTTCACTTTCATTGACGGAATAAAAAATTGATGAAATTTTTATAGTGGCAGGTCAGCGGATTAGGAGCTCTAGATAAAAAATGTTATTTAGAGATCAAAAATGATCATTAGATATATACACATCAAATTATCAGATAAATTATAGAGATTTTTGTTACATAAGTTTTTTTTCTTTGATCAATTTGATTCATTATTTGCGTTCCAAATCGAGATTTATAATGCTTAAGTTCACTTATATAGTTCAAACAAATTTTATCGGCAATTTCGACACTATGAATCAATTTATTTAAAAATTTGTTTTTTTTTTTGAAAATTTGCGAAAATTGCATATCTAATTTTTCTAAAATTTTAAAGCTTTTAAAAATTTGAGATTACGATACAGGAAGTACCAGCAATTTTCCATAAAGAATGTTGCCATGTTGCCAGTCATTGGTTTAGTTTACATTGCGCTGTGGTTCCAATCGTTTACATTTTTAAATATAATTAGAAATGTAAGTAAAATATAATAAAATAATTTATGTAACAGGAAGGTGATACTAGTATTTCGCAAATTTTACAAGGAGCTGTGGTCCCAATCGTAAACAGAAATGAATGCAGAATTATGAACTCTGAATTGTATGATGCGGTTAATCAACGGTTAGTATATAAATATATTAAACTTGACAAAATTATAATACAATAGTAAATGAAGTGACTTCACATTAAATGATGATTGACTTCTAGTCCAGTCATTTAAGCTTAAGATTAAGTAAGATACTCGGAATTCGAAATACCCAGCTGTAAGTCTGTAAATACTTGTATATAGACACCCTAAAGTTGTCTCAAAACCTACATATGGTAGGATGTAGATACCATATGTAGGTTTTGAGACAACTTATGGGTGTCAATATACAAATATTTAGAGATTTACAGCTGGGTATCTCGAATTTCGAGGTGAATTTACTATAATGACTGGACTAAGCATTTTTTGCCTGTGAGGCATTATGATCTTTTTCTTAGCTTTGGATTGGAATTATTAGTTAGTGTTGATTTTCTTATTAACACTTTCGGGACGGCACCGATTTCACAACAATCTCAAAACTCGATCTCATTGTGTATGTTACGCAATTTGTTTGATAAAAATTTATGGTCGTTGAAGGACATACATTTATAATATTAATTTATTTTGGATCATTTTTAAAAGAATGATGAGGTTCGAAGCAATTTCCAAAATGCATAGCTGGTTGATTTTGACATGTTTTACAATAAAATGTTGTTCGCCGCCTTCCTGCTAGTGCTTTTCTGTCAGAACAGACAATACAATCACTTTTTTTTCTATCGTATTTAGAATATGCCACTGATTAGTCAGTATATTTGTTCATTTTTTTGTTGCTATAATAGTTTGTTTTTTCTATTATATTGTCTAATAATTCATTTGTAAAATATAGGGCAAAATAACCTATTGGATGTCTTATATGGCTTGGCATTTGTAGTCGGGGTAAAACTCGATTATTGAAGGAGAATCGGCACATTCGCTAATGCCTTTCCGATCTTCATTTAATTTGTCGAACTTATTCTTCTTTTTGTTGGTTAGATAATAACATCATCACATTCATCACTATCGTCGGTGCAAATAGCAGTTTCATAAAATTTGTCTGTATGATTGTCTATTTGGAACTCATCTTCACTACTGCTTAATTCACAAAATTTACCAGTCATTTTGCCATATTTCGCCGCTCGGTCATTTTTAATATTTAAAAAAAGACTATATAGCAAAGAAAATGGCTAAAAATTTTACTAAAATAAATTAAAATTATTTTCAAAATATAACACTGTTTATCACTGCCATATGTGATTTATTCAACGTTTCGATTCAAACTGAGTCATTGTTTATAAAATAGCCTGTGCCTGAAAGAGTATGTTTGTCCACTCAGGTGGACAGCCGTCCCCAAAGTGTTAAAGTTCAAACTATATCAAGTTTAACAAAAAACTATATCAGTATTTAAGTTTTTGTTTTTTATTGGTTGGGTTGATTAAATAATGACCCATATATCATATGTCAAAACGTGTGATCAACATAGAACGTTTTTCTTTTCTCTTTTTTTGAATTCGACAAATGGACTGCAAATTAATGGGTATAACCTATGAAATACCAGATCTAATCACATGGAAAATAACTATATATATATATATATATATATACTTTATGTAATTTATTTTTTAGTATGATCTGTGCTGGATTTGTCAAAGGAGGAGTCGATTCGTGCCAAGGTGATAGTGGTGGTCCAATGGTTAATGCTAGGAAAAAACAAATAGGAATTGTTTCATGGGGAATAGGATGCGCAGATTCTAATGCTCCTGGGATATATACGAGAGTTGGCGCACCAGCAATCAGAGAATTTATAAAAGAAGTGTCTGGGGTGTAAATAATGTTTTTGTACTAAATTAAATAAATTTACATTGCGCCTAATTATTTCAGATGCTATTAAATAAAGCTTATATATATATATATATATATATATATATATATATATATATATATGTCAGTAACTATATTATGATATTAAAGAAAATCGTTCCTTAATCAAGCCTATAACTTGTAATGATAATACAAAATGCTTGCCACCATCAATATCAGTGGGAAATTATGAATCACCGTGGTACGACGTGGCTATCAAGAAATAAACGGCAATGTTTGAAAATTCATAACATTAGTATTTTTTTTTATTGATTGTGAGCATTGTTGTTTAGTTTATGAGACCTTAATATAATTTTTGAGGTATACGTTATTTATTTGTTTTATAACATGTAATGATAATTTTAAGTTATTAGATTCAACAGTTTTTTGTAATATAACCTCTAAAAAAGCTTGCATGTGGGTGTCTAAAAAGGATCAACAGAACTTTTACAATGACAAAGGTGTAAACAATAAAAAAGAAAATTAGGTTAAAAACAAGCAGTTTAACAAGAGATAAATAAAATAAATAGTTAATACAACTCTGCTGATAAATATTTCTGACAAAACTCCAGATTTAGGTTATTTTCAGTGTTGCCTCTGTAAAAATTGCACCCATACAATTTATATTTAGCATTGGTTGAATAATGTAGCTATTATTTTGTAAAATTCCTTTAATATTAAAATAGAACATTGGACCTGTTTGCCCCTAGCCGTCACAAATTTCTCGCTTATGAGGTAAAAAGAACCAGGTAAAAGTTTTTGAAAAACAGCAAAAAGAAACACATTTGTACAATAATGAATTAGCTGGTATTTCACTGATCGTAGTCATATAGTTGTTTGTTTGATTTTAATGATAATCGGTTTGATTTTATTGATTTGGTTCAATTGCTCAAAGTTAAAATGTACCTTTGTGCTGTGCGCTACCCTTTACCAAATTGTTCAGAAACCTTTAAAACGTAAATATATGCAAAAAAAATATTTTAAATTGCTTTGCGATTACAACAACTTACACCACGGAAAGTTGAAAATTAAACATTATTTGTATTTAGCAATATTTCAATGTATTTTATTAAAACTTGTTTTATATTTATTACATATCGTTTACCAACCTGCGATCAGAAAAGGTGCAGCATTAAAATATGTTATAAATAAACTATAACAATAAAATAAACTATAAAATGCAATATTTCATAAGTGTTATAATTTAGAACAAAATGGTATAAAAATCCATGATTTTTATCCGAAACTACGCACATTTGACACATCAATCCTACAAAATTTTTGTGTCAATTTTATTATATATTGTTATATACTCAAATTATTAATTTAGATATTGTTTTCATAAACTAAGCTATATTGTTTTTTTGAAACTGTTATTTAAGTAGGCGTATAATTATTTTTGCCTAGTTTTGTTTTTTTGTAATTTTTTTCATATCATAAGTTTTGTACATATAAATATTAGATAAAATATAATAATTTAGTAGCAAATACGGACAGACAATGTTAAGATGAAGAAACTTCAAATAATAATAGCCTTGATCGGATGCGTTCTTCCCGAACTCTCGCAAAGTCAAAGTAAGTTTTATAATAATAATTGAATACATAATTATATCTATAAGTATGTTTTAAGAAGATAAATTTGAAACGAGTTAAATGATAGACCATCGCTGTATATGGATATTTTATTATTGTAATTTTAAAATCTATAAATTTTAACTAGTTTTATTACTTTTTAACTTCGCGTAAAATAAATTATTGTAATGGGCCAAAAATCTAAAATTATAATTGTTGCATATCCACACGTTTCAAAAGTTTCCGAACATTTTAGCACACCTCTGAAAAAATGGATATATATGTATGTGTGTGAAGACATTTTTTCATTGACGATTTTGTTCGTATGGATTTTCCGATTTGAATGATTTAAAAAAACATTCGATTTCTAGTAATGAGGTGACGTAATGATTAGTTTTTAACGATACAAGTCCAGCAGTTTCAGAGATATGGATCAAAAAGTGTTAAAATGTCAGTTTTTAAGAGAACGAATCAACCGATTTGAATGGTCCAAAAAACTTTCGATTCGTAATAATGGGTACTGATTAGATTTTGAAGAAAGGCAGGTCTACCCGTTTTAAAATATTTTTTCTTTATTTGATTTTTTTTTTTAGTTTTCACACTTTTTTCCTTTAATTATTGAAAAATAATTAGTATTTGAATTCTAATTCTATCTAAAGTTCTAAACATCACTTATATTTATATTTATATTTATATTTATATTTATATTTGTATTTATATTTATATTTATATTTATATTTATATTTATATTTATATTTATATTTATATTTATATTTATATTTATATTTATATTTATATTTGCTAAATTTATATTTGATAAATATGCTTCAAATAAATAATTTTAATTTTTTTGCAATTCAGTTTATTTAATACTTAGAAATATTTGATAATGTTCTTCATTTTAAATCCGATTGATTATGTTTTGTTTATTTACTTTCTATAAGATAAGAATAATGAAAGTTACATTATTTACAATAATCTATTTGATTGGTACTGGAAGTTCCTGCAATTTGCCTTAAGACGCGATGCCATACACCACTAGTTAGTTATTTTTGTTATAAATTATTATTTATTCAAAATAATGTGCAATTCGTTATTGTTTTAGATGTAGATCCCACTACTAAAGAAGGAACTAATCGCATTGTCGGCGAAATGCCAGTGAACATAAAAGATCATCCTTGGCAGGTATCAGTTCAATATCATGATCGTCATTTTTGTGGTGGTTCTATTATTGATAACAACTGGATACTAACTGCAGCACATTGTGTAAAAGAGTAAATATCAAAACAATCTAATAATTTTGAGTACAATTTAAATGCTGCAAACATAGGGAATCATGTCACGGTTCACGACTGATTGCTTGTTTTAGATATGCAAATCTCGAACTGGGCGACAACTTTAAAATTCACTATGGAAATAACGACTGGCATTTTGGCTTCGTTAATATTTTAGAAAAGGCTATTATTCATCCAAATTTCAGCTATGAGACAACTGATAATGATGTGGCTCTTCTTAAGCTTAGAGCACCAATTAACTTCACAGATGGCGTTCAGAAAATATCGTTGGTTGAAAAAGGTCAAGATCCTCTACCTTATTCACCTGCGATTTTCACTGGCTGGGGCCATACGGTAGCAATTTAATTTAAGATAATAAAATAAAACATCAAATTACATTACTGTTCATCAGCATTAAATCACATTTCAATAGACCAACGGGTACTTCTTACCCTAACACTTCAAACTATTTTTTAATTTTTTTTTAAATTAGGGCTCGTTAATCATTTGTAGAATAATAAGCCTTTTTTACTACAAAATATTATTTTCAGATAGGCTAATTATCATTTACTCGTAAAGTAAGAATTAGTTAATTATAGGTCATTGTAGCTTTGCAAGATTTAATTTCTCAAATAATATACTTTATTTTATAGTTTTAGCTGTGAATCATTTTCCCATATTCAAAAAAAGTGTGTACGTAAGGTTCACACGCGATTGAAGTAAAACTTATTTGCTACTGTACAAGATGGCATTTAAGTAAAAATAAATACATTTTATATTTCTAATAATAATACATCATATAACAATTTTGAATAATGTTTATTAGTAATATGGTAACACCCGTGATGCACACTTTTATTAGGGTCAACCAATATACACATTTATATAATGACAAATTATAAATTATAAATTATAAATTATAAATTTATAATAGCATTAAAAATATGCATAATATTTAAAAACAATAATGTAATTAAAGACATACTTCAAATGAGACATAATCGGTTTGTCATTGTAATTAGCATTTAGAAATGAACCTTCATTATAGAAATGAAGTAATTGCTGATTAATAAATTCTTTAATATTTATTCACACAGTGGATTATGTTAAACTATGCCGAAACAAATATTGTTATCGCAACTTCACTCATCATGTAATTATGTTTGAAGAACTTCATGTAATTAAAATTAATATACATTCATTGACTGCTTGTATTTTTTTACTTCTTCGCTGGCGATATAATCTCATTCTTTGAACAGCTGTAATATCTGTTTTGTCTAAGAAATATTTTCCATTTTAATTACTTCAAAGATTTATAGAAACTACAAATAATGTAAAAATAATTTCTAATCAATAAACTTATGTTTAGTACACGGCAAAATTCTTTAATTTGTTTTATTATTTTCAAGGAACAGGGTAAAATATTTTTTTAATTCAGGCATTTTTTTATTAAATCAATATTTGTACTATGATGTAACTTTAGAATGTTTATTTATCTATGCCGATTTCCTTGTTGATATCGGTACGAATACAACGACAGATCTCTATTCACATACACGACGACTAATCACGATCGACCCGTATGATCTCATCGAGAACGAATAACGAACGAATTTGAAATGATTTACACCCTAGTCGCGCCTAAAGAAGTTTCACTTCAAAAATAAATTTCAAATTGTTCAAAATAATACAATTTTTTCAAATTGTTCAAAATTTTAATGCTTGCAGAAATTAAGTAATTTTCCGCAATTTTCCTTAAGGCACTATGTCATGCACAACTAGTAATTGGTTTACTTTACATTGCGCTGCGAGTTTTATTTGTATTTACGATGCAATATATTTTAAATATAATTAGAAATGTAGATAATTTTTTTATCATAATAATATATAAGAGCCAGCGGTGACGATATCGGTTCGAACGTGAGCTAGCACCAACTAGTCGCGGGTTCGCGGGTTCGCTGGTTCGATTCCCGCTACCCCTAAGGCCCGACATCAGGCAACATTGATATTAAATTTCCACTTCAGGTTATAGATCTCAAGTATATCCTCAAGTGAAAATCGCCTCTCGTGGGTATAGTTGCATATATGTAATAAATATGTCAGCAAACACTAGGTGGTCAACCATTCAAAAATCCATATAATAAAGTCGAAACAATTACTGAATGTCCTAAGTAATAATAATAATAATAATAATAATAATAATAATAATGATAATAATAATAATAATAATATAATGAAATAATTTATGTAACAGGAAGGTGGTAGTATTCCGGGCACTTTACAAGGAGCTGTGGTTCCAGTCGTAGACAGAAATGAATGCAGAATTATAAGCCCTGAATTGTATGGTGTGGTTAATGAAAAGTTAGTATAGAAAAATTAAAATTTGACAGAATTATAATACAACCAAAAATGTAGTGACTCTAGATTAAATGATGTTTGACTTCATTTTCTATTGTTAACGGATAAGCTTTTTTTGGATTTGGGGCATTATGTCCTCGCTTTTAGCTTTGGATTTAAATTATTAGTTAGTGATGTTTTTTATATTGAAGTTTGTCAACTTCATTCGTCTCTTTCAACACACTTCATCTCCAATTACTCGTTTATTGTCTCTAATTACATTCTTTACAATATTCATCTCTATATGTCACTACGCAATATATAATCTACTCACACACACAACCTTATTCTTTTGTTATTTTATCCATAGATCATGTCAATTACGTCAACAAGTTTAAATATCTTTTAAACTATTATTAGCTTATAAGTTATTTGTTTTTGCCCTTGGTTGGAAGATGACACACATTAAATGTCAAAACGTATGATCAACATGGAATGTTTTTCTTTTTGCCTTTTTTTAATTCGATAAATGGGCCGCAAATTAATGAATATAACTATGAAATATTTAAAATATGATTTCAAAATACAAACCTGAAAATTGACTTTATATACATTATATAAATTATTATTTTAGTATGATCTGTGCTGGATATATCAATGGAGGAGTAGATTCGTGCCAAGGTGATAGTGGTGGTCCAATGATTAACGTAAAGAATAAACAAATTGGAATTGTTTCATGGGGAATAGGATGTGCACAGGCAAATTTTCCTGGGATATACACGAGAGTTGGCGCACCATCAATCAGAAAATTTATAAGAGAAACGGCCGGTGTGTAAAATAATGATTTTTATTGCTAAATTACGGTATCAACCAAATTAAATAAATTTGCATCAACACATAATTATTTAGATAATATTATATGGTATTAAAAAAATAGTTTCTTCATCATGTCTGTAACTTTCTCTCAACTACTTAATGCAGCTAATATATTGCATAAATGTCGAATACACTTCTAATAAAATGTAAAATTTGAAAAACAAAAAGTAATTTCAATTCTCTACTTGTTTATATAAACTAAAAAATAAATCATTAAAAATCATTTTTATATATGATAATATTTAAGTTTAAATATATAATTGTATATAAATATGTAAAGATATAAATCTTATATATTTACATATGAATATATAATTATATATAAATTTTATATGTAATGTTTAAGTTTAAATTTCATTCATACATCATTTATCTAATGGTAACATATTTTCAGAGTGAAAAAAATATGTTTTAATTTCTTAGGCATGTAACTTTAAAATATAACAAAAATCTACTTTCTCCTGGATTTCCGAAACCGTTAGACCTGCCTTCACACAAATTACTCCGTTCTCTCAAAAACTGAATTTTCATTTTTTGAATTTTTTACCAAATCTTTGAGACGGCTGAACATGCCTTGGCCAAAAACTACTCAGAATCGTCCTATCAATAGGAATCGAATGTTTTTTGAATCATTCAAATCGGTTGATCCGAGGACAAAAAAAAATATCTACGCCAAAATCTACACATACCTACAAGAAGCTAAAAATTTGTTCCAAAATTTTAATTTAAAAGTTTTGAAATCTTCCATACACATGAAATGTCCAATATACCAATATAAATAAATGAGATTGATTTTAACTTTTTTCTCGGAGTTCATTACGAAACAAAAAGAATAGGCAATTTTACATTTAACCTTTACCATTTAACAATTAAATTTTGTTGTCTAGTGTAAAATTTATAGTTGGAACTATGAAGAAATGATTTTCCAACCGGGTGTACAAAAAATAAATTTCTTCAGCAATTTCGTAAAATGGATTAAATTAAATGTTTTATTTATTTCATTATAATCTATGAAATTTATTCAGGCTTTTCTGCATGCACAGTAGTTAAAAATTACTTATTGTATAGAAAAACACAAACGGCTCTAATGACTAAGAAGTGTTAACGATTTATAAAATAGAAATTTATTAATTGCGTTATCAATTTAGTTTCAATTAAATTAATTCAACTTTCAGATTGTTCATTAATATTGTAAAATCCGTATTCAATTATTTGGAGAAATGAATATTCTTCTGACCTTGTTCACCTCTGACAAACGTGTAGCAGGCGCACGCATAAAAGAGCTTAAAGCACCTGATAACTGATAGGATACCAAAATATCTTTCAGGCAAATTTACATATCAATGTGGGTATTTTGAACTCGTATATATTAGTACAAACTGAAAACGCGTTATATATAATAATACATACATACATACATATATATATATATATATGTATATATATTTTATATATATAAAATTCTTTTAAAATAATGTATGAAAAGATACACCTCCTTTGATAATACTTTGATAAATCTTTTTGAGTTAAGAAAAATTTTTATTTATAAAGGTAAATGATTACAAAAATGATAGTAGTATTGTAGAAATAAATGGATAAAATGGCAAAAAGCGACGTGTCATTGTTTGACATTGTAAATAGTTTGACAAATGAGTACTGCCACGTGCCAGTAGTTTTAAGTCACGTATGAGCCTAGACAATATTAGACTATAATATATTCATAATCATGATTATAAATAAGAAAATATCTATATTATTATTGCCGAAATATGCAAGAAATTAAAATAATAAAAGATACAATATATTGATTATTTAAGTGTGTTATCTGGGACTCATTATATTTAAAGCAGTTCTACACTTAAGATTACTCATATTGATGTTACTATACATTTCGGTATAGACTGTAGTGTAAAAGACATTGAATTTTGACTAAATGGTAAATATCAGTATAGGTTATTAAATAAAAATTGGAACTTTTGAATTGTAGATACGGGTACAGGACAACGTCCATCTCGATCTATGTTTCTTTTCCGAACAATAAATCCAATAAACAAAAATAATTTGTTTTTTATAGATGTTTAATTACGACATGTCAGAGCTAGATATGTTCCATCATCAGATTGCTTTTGTTCACAACATTTTTATATAGACTAACTCTATTAATGACTCAGAATATTAAGTAAAAAGATTTTTTAATATAAAAGAATGGATTATGTTCCAGATAAAAGTAAAGAAAGGTATACAAAAATAAAAATTAAAAATTAAAAATTATAGAAAACAAAAAATATATAAAATTGACTAGCAAAAATTATTTACCTGCAATATTTATCTATATATCCATACAATATAAACTATTTTCCATCTATATAAACATAATTCAGTTTTATCATCTGGATGAAGAATTATTACGATTTTAATATATATATATATATATATATATATATATATAATGTGTATGAATTATCAAATATTCTACCGAGAGCATTCTGAGTATACCCAAGTGAATTTGTAGGCGTTGGTATGCGAAAACTAGAGTAAATATTTTACACCAATAAATTAAACTAGAGCAGTATGATGGCACAAAATTATAATTACAAGTACTATTAGGTATATGTTATCATAATTAATGAACGCATATAAAATGTAAATTCAGTTTCATAATATTCACGGAACAAAGGAAATAAATTAAAATTTAAACTCTATAGCTATTAAAAGAGAGCTTGAAAAAATGTTAAAATAGTGCATGATATAATTTAAATCATAATTTAGTATATAATAAATTTGAATCATATTTTATTAAAATATGCAATTTATCATAGTTTCTGGATAATTTTTTTTACATTAAACTAATGATATTCTAGTAAATACTATATAAAAACTGATTTGCCCGGGGTGTTATTAACGAAATGACTGTCTGCTGGAATCTCTTAGAACTTCGCATTTTTCAATGAAAAGTCATCTCTCTTTGATACGAATACAATCTTCTCAACAATAGAACGAACATATCTTTCAACAAAGAAAAGGCCGTTAGAGATATCTCTGTTCATTGCTAAATCATCTATACAGCTGACATATTTTCGGGAAAGAGCCTGAAATGGTTTTTCTAAAAGACGCACTATAGTTCTTGAAAATTCAATAAAGTTCCCGAATGATATTCTAGTATGTTACGTAATTTAAAATAAATTATTTATTACTTCCCAATTCATAATAATTATTATTAAATATATTTGAAGAATATATATTCAAAAAATATATTTTTTCAGTCAATTCCTCAGTTAAATTTAAAATACAATATAACCCAACTTTTGCAGTAGGCTTGACACAAGAAAAATTGTTAAATTAAATAACTGCAAAAACTGCTACATTCACACACTCAAAAAATTATTGATTTCTACTTTTTCACCGCAGCTAATATACGATATAAAAATTTTAGTGATGATATAATATTATTGTTGAAATCTTCTCCTAGGCCTATAATATTTTGAGGGGTATGGTTTGACTATCAACTCTATCACCATGCAAAGTTTCATCAAAATCCCAGAAGACTTTACCTGAGGTCCTCCTTATTGTTAGTATGATTAGACACATTAAAAAAATTCTTAGCTATTTTAATTAACTTCTGATTAAAAATAATATGTATGAAGTTATATTTTCTAGTAATTAATAGTACTCAATGTTTTGTCTTTTTCTTCTGCAATTTACTCAATTTTGACATTTTACTGCTTTTCTGAGCTATTTTGCAGCTTTTTTCGAGCAATATTGAAATGTTCTAGATTCTAGAGATAATGATTTCTAATAATTTGTGACAAATTTCTTCATGTTTTCAGTAATTTTGGTCTTCTGAGCCATTTAGTAACTTTTATTTTTAAACAATCTTTTAATTTTTTAGATTGCTTTTTGGCCATTTTCATCAACTGCCTTAGCATTTTGCCTTTTCCTGGAACTTTTAATGCAGCTTTTTTAATGCAATATTTAAATGTTCTATAAATATTTAAATTGGGTAATTTCTGTGAATTTACAAGAAATACTTTATCTTATGTTACAAACTAATTATAAAGTTTTAGTAATAATCAGAATATAACGTATATTATGACGATTCAGGAAAAATAACGCGATCGCTCCTGCGATACTTCTAAATCATACACCACTTCGAAATTTATGACAAACAAACTTTTGTTTAAATATATCTACTTACAATTAATTTGTATTAAATAAAGTAATTTTCAATTATACAACTTCAATTCTATTAAATAAGCACTGCTCTATATTCGGATGAAATCAGAACTATACAGTGTAATATTATTTCTATCAAATATTGATTTTCCGTTGTGATATATAACTACAATTTTATCTAATTGGCTGATCGCTGACAGGAAATTAATTTCAATATTGTGAATACATCAGCATGATAACGAGCTCATTTACATGATGACAAGGAACGTGTTGAAAATATCGACAGATTTTCATTGCAACGAGCTTGCAAATGGATTGACGGTTCCATGAACAATCATTATGCACATCAAACCAAAGTAATATTATCTTTCAAAATAAAATATATAATAAATTTCATACCATTGTTGATATAGAACATTTTATATGTTTATACAGGGTAGAGCGTTGTTTAGAGTTCTGCGGGTAAAAAGGTCGACCATCATTATGAAAGTATGGAAGGGCGAAACACAAAGGTTTACTTTTAGTTTGAGCTATTATATTGTAGAAACGAAACCAATTAAATTACAATAAATTACACATATGAAACAAACAACTACATGACTAAGTTCAGTAAAATTCCCAGCTAGTGTATCATTTAACAAAAACATTTTAAAATAGAAGGCACAAGACGTGTAACCCGTCATTCTCTAAATTTTTGCGACGTCGGTAAAAGGACATGTTTCAATATTCATAATAAAAAAAATGTGCGCGTAAGGTTCACACGCAATTGAAGTAAAACTTATTTGCT